AACCTTACACAGGCTACTGAAAGATGTTCTGGAGAAGGACCAAAACGATCAGAACTCCACGAATGTGATCAGAAGCAGCCAACTAAATAGGGTAAGCAAGAACTTATGGACAGTCATATGTGAAATAGAACAATAGCAATATCATTATTTAGAGCATCCATGTCACCTAATGACATTTCTGTGATTGGCTTAAGAAAAAGCAAAGAGTGTTCTCTGGCAAGTTATACAAGCTGTAACTTAGTAGTAAGTTATTAGTAGAGAAGACCATGTAAAAAATTATTAGTGTGGGCTTACATAAAGATGACAAAATGCAAATTTAAGATAGTTTCTTTGTTGCCTCTGAGTTTCAAATTTTTAGAGATAAGAGTTATAAAATGCCACAGCTAGCCAGGCATGGTGGCTCATGCCTATAATCTCAGCACTTGGGAAGCTGAGGCAGGAGGATTATTGTTCAAGGCCAGCCTGACTTTCATGTTTTGAGACCCTGACTCAAAACAAAAGCTCTTTGAGAGCTCTCTCAAAAATAAAGAAATAATTACCTTTTTTAAAGACAGGATTTATGGAAGGACCTCCGTTCTTCTCCAGACTAAAAGGAAAACATTTTACACAATAAGATAAATGAGACCACAGTGAAAAAAAATATGAAGTCTTTTTCCAGCTACCATCTTCTATGCCTAGTGGCCTGTTTCATATATTTTAGGTCACATGTATGAAATGATGCACATTTGAACATTTTATCTTCCTAACAGTTGGAACATTAAATATGCTTGCGGTGGTAGGAAGAAGACACTTCAGTTTGTGTACAGTTAAGCCTGAAGGTCAGCTGGGTTGGTGTAGGACCATGTAGGCACTTCTCGGTGTGTCTAGGTGGGCCGTGGAGGTCTGCCCTTAGGTAGCCTATGTAGGCCCTGAACCTACCTCTCCTGCTTTCCCCGCTCCATTCCTAGCTACCACTGATGAGCACTTTTCCTCTGCCAGACCCTTCCACCCGGTTTTGCCCTGGAGCCAGCAAACCATGAACTGAACCTGTTGACATCATGAGCCAAAATATACCACTTGGTCCTTTCTGCTCCTTTCGCTGGGATTTGAAGAATGCATCTGAGAAGGTGGCACATCCTTATACTTCACACAAAGATGCTACTTAGGCTCTGTGGGAATGACTGAAAATACTAATTTATCCTCAAGTCTTTTGAACCCAAACAATTTTAACATTGTCAGTTATAGCAACTAAAGCTTACATTTTGTGGCTTATGTAAAATTCAGCAAGCAATTTTTGATACTCAGTTTTTCCAAGACTTAAAATGACTCTGAAGATACACTCTTAGTCACTTTCACAACATTGCAGCAAAATACCTGAGACCCACAACGGGGAGGAGAAAGGTTTATTTTTTGCATGTAGTTTTAGAAGGGTAGTCTATGTAGTTGGGTGGCTTGAAGCAGAACCAGCATGGCAGAAGCAAGTTGTTCAGGCCACAGCAGCCAGTAAACAGGGAAAAGGGAGCAGCCAGCGACAAGAATAGACTTGCAGGTCATACCCCGTGGTCTGCCCCCTCCCAGGACATTCAGCTATGAACTCAGTAGTGCATTAGTCCCCTGGGGAATGTGGTCCCGCATGCTTTAGGCACCCTCTAAACCTCTACTGTAGAACATTGGGATACTGGGGGGACATCTCAGATCTAAGCCAGAATAGTTTTACTCATCTTTCTCTGTACTTAAAATTAATTTATGTAATCATAACACACTATTAGGTGCTTTTATTATAGACCTCATAGTATACAAAAACATTGTAAATAAGCTGAAAATATTATTACAGTAAAAGACACATGGCTAGTCCCCACAGTATTCCCTTGCCCTTTAAAATACATCATTACCATTACTCCCTTACCCTATCATTCTTGCCTCTTGTTTCGTTTTTTTGTTTGCTTGTTTGTTTTTTTCTTTTGAGACAAGATCTTACTATGCAGTTCCGAGTGATCTTGAGCTCACTTTGTAGCCCAGGCTGGTCTCAAGAGGATCCTCCTCCCTCAACCTCCTGAATGCTAAGATTACAGGTGTAAGCCCCCATGCCCGCCTATTCTTGCATCTTTCTGAGGCAGTTCTGGAAGTATTCGTTCCTATCTTTATGAGTTATGATCAAGTATGCCATGAATGTTCTGCTAAGTG